GTTCGCTACGGGCAAACGGAAGGTCCGCATTTGCATGATGCAAGCCATTTGCAGTCTGCCTATTTGCATCACTGGCATCATGCCTTGCATCTGAATACTTTCACATCACATGCTTCAGCTTCCCCCCACGTCCGGCTGGAACCACCGGGCACCGGTTTCGGAGGTTTCGAGTCCACCGAACGACCAACGGCATCTCCGTGGGTGACGGAACCCCCGTCGACCCGTCTCACAGGCACGGAACCCACCAGGGTTGCTGTCCGTGAAGCTGCGAGAAATGGAGGTGCCATGGCCGTGGCCACGTGCGATGGAGTGACACGGACGTCGAGTGGGCGTGAGTCGTTTGGGGCTTTGTCTTGGAACACAGTGCCTGTTTTCGGAGTTTGGTTGGTGGTTTTGAGGCTTTGGGAGGCACGAAAACTGAACAGAACCCGGGAAAACAGGTGAAGATTGGCCTAGTTGGCTGTCCAAGATTCATTTTTGATGTGAAAAGGGCATCCTCTCTGAAGCCAAAGAAAGCAAACAAAAACCTTTCGAAGGGTATCAAGACAACAGAGTTAAACAAGAGAAAATATCTGTAACATGACCCCATCCGGCTTCAAGTTATATAGATGTTAATTGTGCCTTGCTTCATTCATGTGTCATTTTTAGTTCGCGTTTGATCATGCCAAGCTATTGAGCGGATGCCTTCTGTTTCCATGCTTCGAAGACATCTGCCAGGATGGCTCATTCGTCGCGAAAGGAGGCACATCTTGCTGTTGGGCAGGATATCAATCGCTATTGGAGTTCACGACCACATGGCCACATGACCATGACCCACCCGTTTACGCCAAGACAGCCAAGACGTAAGTGACGTACGGATTGGTCCGTTCCGTGGCACCGCTCTGAACGGGTGGGTTCCGAACACAGAAAAGCAGCGAGCACAGTGCTCGACGTCGTTGTCCAATCTGTTGCGGTGGAGGAGTGGTATCACCGATACACCAGCACTGCCGCACTGCCGAAGGTTGTTTAAGCACTGGTGTCTTTGTTTCGGTTCAATGGCACCAAAAGAACGAATGCAGCTAACATGATTGGAGATTTACTGAATGCGGCTGCGTAGATCGAGTTTACCAATACGTTCTCAGTCTCTCGTGTTTTTTTGTGCCAGGAAAGGGCAAGGGCAAAGGAGGGCCTGGCAGAGAGTTTGGGAGCCCAACAAAGTCGCAGTCGCTATGCCGCTCCGCTGGTTGCGTGTGTTTCGGTGTTGACCATCTCCACCGAGGAGTCTCGGAGTTGTTGTGCGTTTCCAAAGGACTGCTTTTTTTGCCACGCGACCAAGTCCAAGGCCAGGGCAGGTGGCGTACGACACGATACTGTGCCACTCGAATTCTTGCGTACCCGTGTCCCAGCAGTGCGAGGAACCACACGCTGTACGATGCCTTTTGTCGATTTGTGTCGATGTTCGTACAGATTGTTGCTGCTTGGTCAATTGTGATCATGCGGAATGTGGAAGTTCTGAGCAGTGAGGAGCCACTCCAGTTCACCCGAGTCACAATGTAACCACCATCCAATTAGGACTCTCACCCATTAGATACAAAGCCAAGCTGGTGATGCATTCGGATGATTTAGTTGATTTTCCCGGGTTTCATCCCTTCACCTGGGAGACCGATGTCTTCTGTTTTCGCTTCGTCATGGTCGTCGAGTGAGTCGTTGGTTGGAAAACGCTGTCAGGCTGAGTCCACCGCCCCGGTCAAGGCCTGGAGGGAAACGACCGGTGCCACGAAGGGCCCGGCGAGTTCAGACACCGAAGAAGGCGAAGCATGCAGAAGGGAGTGAGAGTCTTGCTGACTCGAAACGAAGCATGCACCAGGTGGTTTCAGCTGGTTTTTGTATTTTGTGTCACCTTTACTTGGGATGATTTGAACCCAACTCATGTTGTTGAAGCGAGTTGAAACCACCAACCAGAGCAGGATTGCGGTGACCGTTGTGGTGTTGTGTTGACAGGACTTCCGCTTCCGAACAATGGAAATGGCAGAGAACGGGGCGACAAGACCTCCGGTGGCTACACTCGAAAAAAAACGACTGATGTAAAAGGTCTAAAGGTAAATCCATTGTACTCATATTGTCTAAAGGTCTAAAGAATTCTCTAAAGGTCTAAAGGGTCGGTCAATCCATTGGTCTATTCATAGGTGGACCCCCTGCCCCCTGGCCGGGTAGCACTGGTCTATTTCCCGAACCTTCCAGGGGGGTCTGACGTTGGGCTCGGTCTCCCTATGGCTTTTGCCAGAGAATGGCTTTGGACAACCAGGACCCTCCAGGCTAGGTCCTGGCACTACCCCACACGACCCCACACGACATCACGGATGGCTTCCTGGAACAGGGCACCCCACACTCCTGTCGGGCACCCCGTGGCGTCGCCCAACCGCTCGTCACTCACCGAGGCAGAGCCCCCCACCCCGGCCCAACCGCTCGAGGTGCGGTCCGCGGACCGGTGGAGGCGTAGATCAACCAGGGTGTGACCTACCGGGCGCCGGTTCACCATGGTCCATGGAAAGGAAGAATACCTTTGCCAAGGATGCAAGAAGAACACCTGACCTGAGCAAAGGATGCTTAGTGATGTATATAGAAGGAAAAGTTATACCAGCATAGACCCTAAACAGAGCAATGTTCAAAAAATATGGCCAGCAGTATTTCCTAGAGGAAGAAAACTGTAGTCCACCATGTAGACGCACATACAAGATTCAAAGGGAAAGAATTAAAATTCTGTTTTTCATTGACTTTACAATGGGACGCCGTACAAGGGCTAAAACATGAAATTTATGGATCCAGGTTGTGACATATGTTGCCCCCCTTGTAAACACGAATGCGCAGACCCAATCAAAATGAAGATTTCCTCAGAGCACGGACACTGCGCTTGGCTTTTTCCTTCCTACGCAGTTGCCTTCTTTGGCTTAGCCATGTACTGCATTGACCTGTGTTTGCCATAGGTCGCAACACTTGACGTAAGAGTGTGTGATTGCTTCGTTGATCATCCGCACGAAAGTAGCTGCCAACCTTGTGCGCATCAAAAAAAATTAATCGGCCCAGCATCCAGCCAAGCCCGGGGATACAAAGCATCCAGACAGGCCATGGGAAACAGGTGGAAGACAAGTGAGCTTACTGGGAGCCAAGTCGAGACATGTGGGAGACAAGTGTGAAATCATGCGGCCAGAGCACTCAGAGCATCCAGAGCTTACTGGGAGACAAGTGGGAAACAAATGGGAGACAAATGGCAGACAAGTGTGAAATCATGCGGCCAGAGCACTAGAGCATCCAGAGCTTACTGGGAGACAAGTGGGAGACAAGTCTGAAATCATGCGGCCAGAAATCATGCGGCCAGAGCACTCAGAGCATCCAGAGCTTACTCGGAGACAAGTGGGAGACAAGTGGGAGACAAATGGGACACAAGTATAAAATCATGCGGCCAGAGCACTGAGAGCATCGAGAGCTTACTGGGAGACAAGTGCGAGACAAATGGGAGACAAGTATAAAATCATGCGGCCAGAGCACTGAGAGCATCCAGAGCTTATTGGGAGACAAGTGGGAGACAAGGGTGAAATCATGCGGCCAGGAACACAAGCCCGGAGACAAACTCAAAATCATCCGGCCCGAGCATGCACCCCTTTAAAAGGAGTAAGAACCCCTCACAGGTAAACCTGTTTGGGAAAAATGGTAACCCATGGGGGTTTTTGTTTGGTTCCAGAGGGTTGCTTTGGGCGTTGGTCGCTCAGACGGATTTCCCCGCTGGGCACACCCTGGGCACACCTGTCTACACCTTAAAAAAAGAAACAACAACAACAACAACACACACATGGCCTGTTTTTTGGTCCATTCCTTTTCGCGATCCTGCTGAGAAAATGCGATTCAACAGCTCGTGTTGGCTGCGGTGCCGGCCGATTGATGGCCTTTTCTCACATGTCGAAGTCCGATGGTCCAAGCGATCAGCCAAAGACATGTGTGTCCTAAGTTCACAAATGATATCGAACTTCTTCAAACTGACCTCTTGAAGGTTCCTAAGTGACCCTTAGGCGGCTTAAGTATGCTTAAGTGACCTCAAACCAGGTTATGAAAAGGTCACTTTGAAGAACCAGGATGTGAGTTTGTGTTGTTCACCTGGAACTAGAGGTTTGGTGCAAAGACTCGTTGAACAATCCTTTGTGTAGACCACTTAAGACTTATTCTGGACTTAGGTGGCCGGTCTCAACTTGGCTAGGTTCGGCAGCCATGGCTACTGCAGACTGCTACTACACCGAAGACATCCAAAAACCAATAAAAACAATTCTGATCAGGATGCTTAATTAACGTCCAACCCAAGAGCGATGGCCTCCATTCTACAGAAGCGATGGCCTCCAACAGAAGGCTCAAGTTAGCATGCTTAGGGTTTGGCATAACTAATTAAGAAGCTACTAGGAGCAAGGACGGGCATCGCTACGAACGGAGCGATCGGACGCTACGAACGGGGCTCCTAGCCTTACTACTATAGGAACAAGAACGCTACGAACGTAGATACGTTTTCCGGAAAAAAACGGTGAAGTTCCAAGACGTCCATTGCCGTGTCTGTTCCACTCCCACATCGCAAGGTCTCGGTCCCGCGACAGCCGCAAGAAGGTCTCCCGAAGGCGTGGACGGCGAACGGAATGCACATGTCTTCGAGTGTGTGGATACTTCTCCCAAGATTAGCTTAAGAGCGACAAGAAAAAGTTGGTTCTTTGAACTGGTGACCTTCGAAATACATGCCGAAAAATGTATTGAGTAGGTTCATCCTTGTTGTGGTCTCGGTCCCGATACCTCCTCCGCTTCCGAGATCGATCACTTGCTTTGGAAGACAAAGCCCCGATTCCGCTAATGGTGGAGACCATTTGCTCAAGTTGCTCAAAGCATGTTGAAAAAGCAGGTCTGCTTGTGCAGACCAAGTGACCAAGCATTTTGTCAAAGCCCAAAAGTCTGAGCTACTAGGAGCAAGAAGCTACGAAGAACGGCATCGCCACGAACGGAGCAAGAAGCTTAAGCCTCATGTCGCTCATGGCGGCGGCTACACCCATGACTCCGCCGAGTCGGTTTGGCCCAGCAACGCACCAACCACGGCCACTTCGGTACGGCCCAACCACGGCGCTGCCGTGGGGCTCTGGCGGTGCTGTTTCGAAGGCCGCCCTCTGGTCATGGGCCGTCCGGTTTCGAAGAGCGACAGGCTTCGGGCCGCGAAGGCGGTGCCGCCGTACGGTGTCGATGTCGTGTGCAGTGAATGATCGGCCTTTAGCATTTCCAGTTGTTGTGCTTGCGGTTGCCAAGCATAAGAGAAGCTTCGGACGCTTTGAAGTGGCCACAGTGGAAGATCCTGAAGTTCCTGATTCTGGCTGTACTCTCAGTGTGATCGTTCGAACGGGGGAGTTCAAGCCTCAGGATACAGCAGTCTTGCTTTTGATTGGGACACGCGTTCCTGAAGATCTTGCACGGCAATGTGGATGGGAAGGGCTTCTGGCGGAGAATGACTTTGTGTTGAAGCCTTATTACTTTGGACGCGGCTATTTGTCCAATGGGCTCTTGCTTCCATGGCCGGAAGAATTTGGAGCGTCCCCGCTCGACAGTCGGTCCACTGGTCCATTGGAATTGACCTCGTTTCTGAAACTTCGAAGCGCTGAAGAGCTCGACAAGATCAGCGCCAGGTCTTTCATGATCGAGATCGGTTTCGATGGCAGCTTTCACGGATCGCAGTCCAGTGGCTGTGATGACTTGCGGCCCACCGTCTTGGGGAAACTTCTCAAAGTTTTAGCACCTCTGGATGCTCGCGACGTGAGCTCAGGAAGTGCGGCGCCCGATCACGAGCCCCGGCCCAAGCGGATGAGCCAATGGGTGGCTTTGAGCAGGGTCGATGCTGGCGTCAGGGGCAGAAGCTTTAAAGTGACAACGCCGCCTCTTTTGTGCAGAGGTTCTGTAGACATCACAGAGGCTTTGGCTAAGCTTCCTTCCAGCATTGCCCTTCATCGAGTGATTCCCATGCCAAGGGGCGTGGAACTGAGTCCGGCTTTTGAGATTGCCAGGGAATATGGCTACTACTTGCCGGCTGCCATCCTAGGAGACAGCTCTGCCACATGTTTGGATGGTATTCTGCAAGACTTTTGTGGTTCCCACTGTTTTGGGAACTTCACGGATATCAAAAAGCTAGAAGGATTGAAGAAGAAGATTCGACGGAGTGTACCACTTCAGAGATTTGCTCACAGCCTTCAGAGTTGGAAGCGTTCAAGAAGGGCTCCCAAAGCTGATGGCATTGGTTGGGAGGGCTGGAACGATTCGACTCCCGTTTCCTCGATTCCAATGCATCCAGACATGCGTGCGGCCTGCAAGCGACATGTCCTCAGCATTGCAGTTGATGTCAGAAGAGGTGGAACAGATGACACACAGCTGAAGGGTTTGATTTGCATTCGTGTGAAAGGATATGGATTTCTTTACAATATGATTCGCTATTTGGTGGGATCTGCGGTGGCAGTTGCAACCGGTAAGCTTTCCTCTGATGTCTTAGCCACAGCTATTGAAGGGTCAATATGTATTGATCTGTCCGAATTCCTGGCTCCAGCCCATGGACTTGTCCTCCTTGACCAATCCCTTGACAGCTTTTCCTGGGCGTCCCAAGCTAGCGAAGTGGCAGCCCATTCTGCAGACGAATTCTTGGACCAAAGACTGCTGCCAGAAATTCAGAAGGAATGGGAAGATTGGCAGCCAAAAGCTGCAGCCTGGATGCGGAGCCCAGTTCAAAGCCCCTGCACCTGACTGGGATGACACTGAGGGTGAGTTGGAACACAGGAAAGTCATGCAAAGGAACCTAAGCGATGGCCTCCAACCTACTAGTGATGGCCTCCACCCTAGAAGAACCCCCTTTTGTTTGTTTGTGTTTCCTTTTTGTTGCTTGGATGGACCTATAGACCTTTCGTATGTCCATGTACACTCCTTGTTCCAACGAAACCTTCTGGGAGCAGCCAGTACTTAGTAGTCTTTGCATGCGTTGGCAAAATGCAATCAAACACATCGTATCGCTTGAAGGGGACAGTGGCATCGTTATAAGTCAGTTATACACGTGTATTTGTCCCAATCTTGTGCTGCCTAACTCAAGATGACCAAGAATTGCTCCTCTAGATAGTGTGAACAAATGTTGGCCTGCAACACCTCTAGCCCATCCTCCGGTAGGTCATACAAGCCATGAGTCGAAATGTATCTCACATCCGGCGAAGAGCATGCTGGATTCGGATTCCACAGTTGGATTTCTACGTTAACCCAGGTGAAAGCTCAGATCGGCCTTGCACACATATTGCCACAATAACAAGCTGATGTTGGAACGAGCAACTTGAGTACAGTCCTGTCAGAACAGAGAGAGGGGGGCGATTCTCAATCTTCTCAGAGATTGCCTGTTCATTCTTCCATCCTATCCCATCCATGGAACTGGAATATTTACCTACATCGACCCTGAAAGCACTTTAAGATCACCCCGAGGTAGGCATATGGATACGGTATGGATTGTCAGGGACACGAACTCTTGCTCCAACTGAATGGCCAAGTCCAGTCTCATGGATTTGCTACTAGTAGCTTCTTGTTACTACTAGTAAGGCACTTTGTTACTAGTAGCTTGCTACGGGAGCCGACCAAAAACCTCTTCGATGTGGATCCTCCCGGCTCAGGAGTCGCTCGCGCTCCCGGCGCTCCAGCCGCTCCAAGCGTCGGGGCAGGGCAGCTCGAGTGGGCGGAGTTGTTCACGTTGAAATCTGAACGAATAAAAAACACGGATGGATTCATTTAGATGGATTTCATATGATGAGAACCAATTAGATGGATTTCATATGATCATATTATCAGATCATATATGGGTCCCTTGAGATGGATGTCATATGATCATATATTTGATCTAAATGAAAGCCGAAGCAGATGGATATAGATGGAAACCAACACACAAAGCACGTTCAATGTTTTTGCTGGAACTATTGCATTAATGGCTGGGGCCGGTGACATCCGTGGAGAAACGCTTTGGGATTGGTTCCAACAAGCTACAAAGGGCATGGCGTCCTTGCTCCGTTCGTAGCGATGCCCTTTGTTACTAGTAGTAAGGCCAGGAGCTACTAGTAGCGTCCTTGCTAATTCCAGGACCAGACTTGTGGCAGGTGAAGATCACCAAGTGGTCGAACGAAAAACTGGTCAAGTATGAACTGATTTGGGGCTAGCCAGGTGTAAACAAAACTACTCAGAGATCCCCTTGTGCAGGGGTCAATTGAAAACAAAAAAATACTCAAACCAATACTCGGGGCAGGCCATCGTGATTAGGTTGGAGGCCATTTCTTCTAGGTGTGTCTTTCTTATGTCTTTTAAGCAAAGTTCGTTTTTCCACAAGAATACTCGAAGGATTGGTGTGTTTTCGATCCAAGTCCATGTCTGGATCGGGCGACTGGGCGGCCGGGCCACGGATGTGTGTTTTTGTCCCAAAACGGCGGTCCAACGATTCGACTGAACAAGACAGGTCGAACCAAAAAGGGAGCTGAGTTTGAGCACGGTGAAATCTCATGTGCTTTTCGTGGAGCTCAGACTCAACCCCTCACAAAATGCATGGTTGACATGTCATTCTTCTTCACCCGCGAACCACACCGAAGAACCCTTGATCGAATCGAACGACGCTGTGCAACGACGGCGCGGCACAGATTGGTTCATCCGGTGGAGACGAGGCGTTTTGCGAAATCAACGCTCGGTGGCCGCTGTAGCCGTATAGCCCTTGGATTGCTTGCAGATCTTGATCGGGGAACAGGCAGGGCCAATGTGTTTGAAGCATTGTTTTACATGTCCTGAAATATGCAGCTGGTGTTTTGTTTTTTGGGCTGAGTCGTTATCTTGGAACAAGGCCAAAAAGAAACGCCTGTCGTTGTGAAAGGCAAATCTTTTGAGAGTACAGTCGTGAAGATGTTGTGTCATGAAGTCCAGGAGATTCATATGGAGGCAGAACGTGTGTACGTGTATTGTGTATATTTGTTTTTTATTTGGAGGTAGAGCTTGTGTATGTGGAAAAAAATATATACATTGGACTCTCTTGGTTGGGTATGAGGAGATTCAGGCTTTGTTGGATTTGTTCACGGAAGATGTTGCAAGAGGATTGAATAATCTAGTCTACTTCTTTCCAGCATCCTAGTTGTCTTGTGAATGAACGTCGCTGACACATTGGAGGGCATCGCTATTAGGTTGGAGGCCATTGCTTCTAGGTTGGAGGCCATCGCTGTTAGGTCTGTGTTCAACAAATGTCACGTCTTTTTTCGGAAAAAATGAGATGCCGCCAGGAACATGGCACGCCTTTTAGCCTTCGCTTCTCTATTGGTGCCCAGCCCGGGCTTGAGCGGCTTGGGAGGGCAAGGCGATTGGTCAGTTAGTCCGTCAGTCTGGCTTCGTTGGCCAAGGCGACTGGGTCATTTCGGGACCACCGTCAGGGCGGTCTTTCAAATCAACGAGCAGATTTCACAGGTATGGGCCAAGCCAGGGCAAGCCCATCTCTGTACAGATAGCTTACTAGGAGAGCTAGGATTGACGTTCAAAGTCACAAAAGGATCCATTTTACTCCTCAAACCTCCTTTTACTCATCAAATCCATTTGACTCCAAAACCTTCAAATCCCTTTTACTCCTCAAAACCCCTCCCCCAAAGAGATCCAAAAGCCCGCCCAAACGAGACCGATGCCCCTTCGACCTGCCGGTGCTTCCACCGGTTCCGATGCGGTGGGATCGAGGGTGGTCCGACCTGAGCACCTGGTGAGAGGGGCGTAGAGAACACACTGGCTGAAGCCAAAGGAAGAGGTGAAGACGGAACGACAACGAACGGCGACGTGGCCCACTGAACTGGGGCATGGGTCAAATGAGGATCAACCATCCTCCCCTTCGTGCCGGACCGGAAGGCTAACTCATCGTTGTAAATGTTTGAACGCGTTGTTTTCGAGGTAAGATCAAGTCATGCTCAAGCCAAAAAGTATGGCCACCAAATCTCCATGAAATCCTACCATCTCAATCGTTCTAACTACATTGGCTTGTGATTTCCTCCGCAGCTTTCTTTTGGAATGCTCCGCGGCGCGTCTGCATCCCACGTCGACGCCCTTCGTCGGGTCGCGTGGTTCCGACCCAACGCGGACGTGCGCGGCGTCACTGGACCGCGACGTGCGCTGCTCATGGCGAATGGCGACGTGGCAACGTTCGCTGAACTCTCTGGAGCTGTGCTTCGATCAGTGCCTGTGCGGCAAAAGTGCTTTTCATTGGGTGAAAAAGGTGGGGAAAAGTCACCCCGCGGGGGGTGGAATTGGGATAGAAAGAAACCCAGACGCTCAGACGCTCATGGACCCGGGTCTGGGGCTCAAATCCCTAGCTTTTGAGGGAACAGTCGGGCTGTGTAGGGGTCGCGTCTGGGAATAACAAAAAGCACCGCAGCCATGGAGTTGAAGATACCACTTTTGGAGACTCCTGGCTGTGGAAATCCGACCCGACCACTGGAGTGGATCGAGAGGATTTTCAAATTCGGCTCGAGGCGCCATGTGTCCTTCCCGGCTCGTCCTCTGTGTCTGAGGAGATGGCATCCAGTCGTGGCCTATGGCAAGGCCATTGCAGTGGCTCGGTGACATCAAATGATCGTCGACCTCCATGTGCGGATGGACACATCAAACATGGCAAGCACAGCAAGTTGCGACGTTGCTCGCTCCCCTTTTCTGCGCTAGTGAGTTGGGGAATTCGGTGGTGACTGGTTTGAATGTCTACTTTCGTTCTGGAAACCCATCCTATAGTCTCTCCAAGCACGTGTTTGTTCCAGTTTGAGTGTCATTTGAAAATTGCGCTCCATGTCCAATGCAGGAGAAACTTGCCACCGTCCCTTGCAACAGCCAAGTGTAGGAACACAGTAATCCACAGTATCACATCTCATGGTTGGAGGCCATCGCTTCTGTAGGAGGCCATCGCACGAAACTTGTAGTCCGAACATGGCACTCACTGTTTTGGTGCGTTCGTGTGGTGTGAGGTGGCAAATTCACGTCCATACCAGCCACAGTGGCCGCACCACCATGTAGAAGTGGGTCAAAGCTTGCATTGAGGACCTGGCACTCCTCAGTCTTCCTAGCTTTGTTCATTTCATTTAGTTGGAGTTTTGAATATGTTCATCCTGGGTAGCGACCAAGACCCAGGGATGGAGCTCCAAAAACCATCACCGTCTTCCTCCCCCCGTCCAATCCTTGCCGCTCGCCGTCCACCAGGCTCAGCGGCAGGCCTCGCTCTGGCAGGGCGCGCTGCTTGGGGTGCGCGAGCTGAGTCGCCACGCCTTGCAAGGCGCGGCCCGCGGAGTGCGGATCGCGGAGGGTCGTCATCGTGTGGGGTCACCCGGAGCGAAGCATCGATCCGCCGGGGCAACCGGTTTTGGGTTTTGGGGTAAACCGGAGAGGGAGACGAGACGAGACGGGCGAACGGAACATTCTGTTACAAATGTATGGTGAATGTGAGGTGTTCTAAGCTTCTCAGAACGAAGCCAGTGAGCATCCTGAAGATTTCGGAGAAGCACATGGTTTGTTGAGATGAGAAGCACATGGTGAACCTGAAGAGTGGCAGCACTGGAAGCTATCGTGCAGGAGCGATTTGTACAGTGTTTCTGGACGAAAGCGCACTCTCCAATCAAGCATGAGCTTGAGCTGCAATCTAGCATGCGTAGGTTGTTCCATGACCAGGAGTGCACACGCACAGCGAATTGGAGACACAAGAGTTGCTTGTTCACGTTGCTTTCAAAGCCACTTAGAGCACATGTTTGGGTGATACGTGAATCAGGCAACACAATTACCTGGGGTGCATGCCTTACGGCCAGCGCGTGGCAAGAGTAAGTTGGCTGCAGGGGCAAAAAAAGCCTCCGTTCGGCTTGAAAGTTGTTGTCGCACACTTGTATGACAACAGAGACAACCCTCAACCAAATCTTGGTAGGACTCCTAATTATATTAGAAACAAGAAGCTACGAACGGAGCAAAGGGCATCGCTACGAGCAAGGACGCTACGAACGGGGCTCCTGGCATCGCTAGTAACAAGAAGCTCCTATCTCGCGCTTTGGGGAACAAAGGGTCACTGCAGTTCTTGTGGCCAACGAGCCCGGCCTCCGTTCCATCGACCGTGCGTGCCGGCGTCGCTCAGGTCCTTGGCGGCCTTGACGCACATGCGATGGCCGCGGCCTTGGTTCGCCGCGAAGCACGAAGCACGCGGGGAGCCGTGGACGAGGTCATGAAATCCACGCGTCGGTTGTTGAAGGATGAGGCTAAGCACCGTCGTTGCGAAGGACACAGCATTTGAGCCTGAAACACGTGCATGCTCAGACACTGTTTCTTCACAGATTATCACAGTTGTATCAGCTGCTTGGTTGGATGCCTATTGCCAGAGATTGTTGAAAGTCTCCAAAGACTCAAGTAGAGCGCTTAAGTATTCGGTATTGCAGCTTATTCGGTAGACATCCTTTTGACCCCAGGCAGGGTGTGGAGCTCAATGCGGGGAGCCCTAGGGCAAAAGGTGAGAGGTGTATGAGCACGGTGGGACAAAGAAGGCTTTCCAGCTAGCACGGTTCCGCTTATATGTTCGGACCACTGGAACGCAAAATGCAACGCAGGGAGAAAAGCAGAGGTTTCCCAATGGTCTCATACTGTTGAAGAAAGAGAGTTTCCATGAAACGCGTGGACACGCCATTGATGTCCCCGGCACCTCCTTCTGTGCCGCCTTTGGTCGATGCCCTGTGCCGGTTTCTGTTCGATGTTCTGCAATCGGCGCATCGGTCGGCGTTAAGAAAGGTTCATTTCGCCCAGGCGCAGCTGGTCGCCCTACCGGTTCGGTCACCCCCAACGGGGTTTTCCTGTCTTCGGTGCAGTTCATGGACTCGTCCTGATCGGTGCCAGTCTTGTGTTCTATTTGGAAGTGACAGCATGACCCACCTAATAGCGATGGCCTCGAACCTGCAGCATGAGTGAGGTTTCACAAGTCGTCCGTCAGGTGATCAGCTACAGTTCCATCTCTGATGAGTGGCGCTTGGCCAAGCAGCTCTTGGATGACATGCAACGGGTTCTGTCGCAAAGCTGCAGGAGTCAAAAAAGGAGTCAAAGGGCAAACGGACCACATGGAACCTGACAATTCACCTGTAGAAGACAGGTTTTCCTCTACAACCCAGTGGCTTTGGGGGTCTTTTGCTCAGCAATTGGATCAATGTGTCGCTACTCGTCAAACCACGTAGAGAGAGCGGAGTGTTGCTTTTGGTCGAGGTTCTTAAAGCTTCTTAAACCACGTACGTTCGCAGCGAACCGTTCGTCACGTTCGTCGTATGGCCAGCGCCCCATTCGTAGCATCCGATCGCTCCGTGAGAGAGTCGCGATGCCGTTCCGTTCGTAGCTAAGTGTTCGTAATCCATGTTAAACCTTCACTTACATGGTGTTCTAGTGCATTGAAAAAGAAAGAGAAGCCAAAGAAGCAAGACCGGCATATTCCAAGAACGCCTGCGTGTTCGTTTTCGCGTGCTTTTTTTCACGAAACCGGGGGAACTCCCAAGGCGCCTGGATGTGGTGGCGTACAATGCCACCATGAAGACTTGGCCCTTGGCCCAGCAGCTCTTAGAGGAGATGTCCTTTCGAGGCCGCGACTGGCGCGGAGAGTCGGAGAGGTGGTTGAGTTTCTGTGTGACTGTTTGTGTGTGTGTCTTTCTTGGGATGTGCAAACATGTTCAATTCACATTCGAACATTGGGGTGCGAAAACTGGTGATTTGCACAGGTTTGTCGTTGATCTTGAGTGGTGGAGTGGTCCGGCACCTGACGTACCATAGGCGTGCCATAGGCTCCTCGGACCAGATTACTCGAAATGTGATGCAAAATGTTGGGCACTGGCCCCGGATTGTCTCAAGTACAATCCTTGGCTGAATCCTATTTTAGGCTCCTCGTGATATCGTGACAGCTGTCCCTGCCAACCCTGCCGAGATCCAGGCTGTTGCAACCTTTGAGCTCGGTGTCCGCAGGTAGGTGTCCGCGACGAGCCGAAATCGGTTGTCACATGCTGATGGAGGTTTAAGAACCGAGTTTCCCTGCCGCCTTGCCGCCTTGCTGCCTTGGGTTTGTTGGTGGATACAAGTTGCCCAAAGTTTGTTCAAGGACCCAAAACCTGTCAATCCTATATATGCAGTATATATAGGCAAACAAATAAGGGAACCTTTCAGGGTACAACATTTTAACTCATGACAAACCCCTTTTGGTAAGATCAGAGCGAACCCCGATGCCAGCGACTTGGTGAACGACCCCCCGAACGCGTCTGAAGCGCCAGGCCTCTCTCACACCCAGACGTCTCGGAATCTTTGCATTGCGAACTGGGCGACTGCACTGCTCTTGGCTCAGGAGAGACATCGAAGGAGGGAGGGTTTGCTTCGAAGATCGAAGGAGAGCGGGAAACAAAGCCAAAACAAAAAGAGATCCAGATTCCCGCATTCTCTTCCTGTACGTGTTCTTTTAGTGGATTGTACTTTTGGCTAAGTGGCGAACCATTGAAAAATTGACCTGGAGAGGTACTGATTCCTGTCGTGCCGCCTTTACAGCCTTTACATCTGACAGAATGTTTGTTGCATTTAGGCGGTGTGGTGGAGGATTTGGACCCCAAAAAACGATTTGAAGCCCCTGCGGTGATGATCCCCACACTGGAAGCAACTACATCCTCCGATGTTTTTGTTGAACAACATGAATCCTCTTTGCTAATTCTTCTCTCGGACCAGGATCTTTTGGGCTATAGCAGCATCATCACGAAATCGCCTTGGTATCGAAGTACACAGACGCTTCAACACTTGCAGGCTGGGCTGGTACAGAGCTTGGAGCACATGACACCGATGGACCTGGGAAGACCGACCACGGTCCCGGTCTCCGAGACCGACTCAAAGGACGAGATGGGATCGGGACCGAGGCCATTGCTAGTGGACCGAGAAAAGGGATCCGTTCTTGTTGGTTTGCGAACGCAGGTTTGTCTAGACCGTTTCGGATTGCACCACGCGTGGTGATAACGATTGGAGGTGTCACTCCTGCAGCCAGACGTGGCGGCCTACAATGCCACCATGAGCTCCTGTGGGCAGCGCAACAAATGGCTTGAGGCATTGCACTGCTTGTGCCTTGGATCTTCAAAAGGCGCGGCTTTGGGTTTGTTGGCTCCTCGATTCTTGGATCAGACAGGAGGTGATTCGACCATGAGGTGGTTGCCATGGACCATTGATTCAAAGCTGGATCCTATCAAGACCTTTTCTGCATGCTTGGAGCTGCTTGAAGTGCTTCAGTGGCTGAGTGGTTTCCAACAGTTGGTTGCTAAGTTGGGAGGAAGAGGGAGCGATTCGCAGAAAACAAGAAACTTCCCCAATCACATCGGAACAGATTTCTTGTACAAATTCTGGTTCACCTCCATCAGTGTAAGGTACGGAATGCTTCATCGGCGTGTCAGTGCCTTGGCTTAACAAGCAATTGTGTTCGACTATTGGGACAGAAACACGTCCGTATGGAAGGAATGAACCATAATTCCGCTCTAGAGACGAGACTTAAGACAAACTGCTGCCCAGAAATAGCTCCGCAATGAGAACACGTTTTGTTGTCACCGTTCAAAACCAAACGTTTGGTGCTCAAAAGAGCTAGCAAACTCGGCCGCCTTGGCCAGCTCTGGGCGATGCCGCCCCGTGTTTATCAAGGGCACACGGTGACCCACCGACGGTTTCGACGGTCGATGCCGAGAGGCGATGTTTTCAGAACTGCCTATGTTGGGATTCAGCACTGCAACCCGAACCGGACATTGAAATGGACATGGACATGGACTGCACCAGAGAGAGAGAGGGAGAGAGTCCATGCGTTTCGTCCGGTTTCGCGAGAGAGTCCAAACATGTCTCACCTCAGAACCGGGCGATGCCGAGAGCCACGATGCCCGAGGTGGGCCGGCGCTGGCCCCAGCGATGGGCACGTGGGACTCGGCGCTTTGGTTGCTGGACTCGAAGCTGGAAAGCTCCATCGTGGCCTGCGGAGCGGCCATCAGTGCGTGCTTTGGAAGTTCGAAACGAATGATGTTCAGATTGATGGAAACCTCCTTTTTTTAAGCCCGTTGGGGGGGCGTAGGCCGTGTAGAGGTGAGGTAGGTAGTAGCTAGGTAGCTATAGTATATACCAGGAAGCTTCTAGGTACAGGACGCTACTACCATGGACGCCGGATAGCTCACGCACTATTCATTTGGTTCCTAATTTTTTTGGGGGGAAACTTAAGGATTAGTGTTCGACCAGTGAGTTCTTGCACATGAAACTGGGTGTGCTCCTCCAAAAAAAGCTTCTCTGCTAGGCTTCAACCGCTTGGGGTGCCAAGCGGTTTCGGCACCGGGATGGATGAACCTCCGGGCTGCTCTCCGCTCTCCGCTCCGCTCTCCAGAACGAGGTGTGTCAAGGGAGATCGCTGGGAACGAGCACTGCTCTTGCATTCCAAGCGATCCTTCGCAGGGAATTCGCAGCTCGTTCGGACCAGTGGACCAGGCCTAGACGGGTATGAAAACCGAAGACCAGTGAAGGCTATTTTGAGCGGTGAAGAGTGCGAAAACGTCTTAGCCTGTTTGAAGACGGGTTGTACAGTGCACGGAAATGTTTTGTTTGCACGTGTTGAAGCTAGTCAAAGTCCTGTAAACCAAGGAGGATGGAAAAAACGATAAGGTTGAAAAGTGGTCCACGGAAAGGTAGAATCTTTTTGAAGACCACCTCAAGTGGAGAGTTGTAGGCCACATCTACAGGAGACTTCAAGTGTGCACCTTTCGCTGTACACCTCCAATCCTTCCACCAGCATGTCTGCCAGATGGGACAGCCAGAACCTCAAAGCTCATGTTGTTTAAACCTCGTGCGGCAAAATAGAAAGATCGGCCCAACAGCTGTGACTGCACTTCAAAATCACTATCACTGTGACACCCAGTTCGGCCGGGGTTCGCCGCGCCATCGGAACGACGGGTTGGTTGGAGTTTAGGCTGAGAAGCAATCCACGTAGGAGTTCCAACAAGATAGTAGCTTATTGATGTGTGTTTTTCTTCACTAGGTGTTTCTTGTTTGGATAGAAGCATCTCAAACGCAAGTACAGTGAATCAGCATCCCGAAATCGGGACATCGGTTGCGGAATGGGATGATGCTAGCACATTGGCTTGTGAAACACAAAGGTTATGGTGCTCCTCCAAACGGTCCTGATTGCATTTGAGAACATATATACCTTTCAAATCTGGGTCTCCCCTAAGCCTCATGAGTTGAAAAAAGATACAGGGAAGAGAAATACTGAACGATGCATGATCAAACCAATGGCGTGTGCCAAAGCACTCTGAAAAAAACGGGGGCGCCACTTCACCAGCAAGATTCTTGCTGAAAGAGTGCGTGTTTCTTAGAAAAGACCTTTCTTCAGCCTGAGGTTGACCTTCAACTCGGCCGTGAGCGCTTGCGAAGAGGGCAGTCACTGGCGCTTGGGTTTTGCGCTGGTGGCTGCGATGCAGGACAATCCGGGACCGAATGGTTTGTGGGGGATGCAGAGGTCAGCAGGGATAGCCTGGTTTGTTTTGATCAAAATTAGTAGCTTCTAGCTACTAGTAGTAATGCCCTTGTTACTGCGATGCCCTTGTAGTAGCTTCTAGCTACTAGTAGTTTGTTTAATCAAAATCCAGGTATGTCATGAGATCTTAGCAACATCGTCATCTAAGCACCTCCAGGTCATCGAAGTTCAAGCCTTTGGGGGGTCCCAGATGCCTGCGCTGCTCCGTTGCAGCGTAAAATCGAAGCAAGATACCTTGAGTACATGACCTGCCAGTGACTTGTTGTAGGTTTGGATTCATCAAAGTCTGTTCTCATGTCACGCTTCGCAATGTCTTCAGGAGTCCAGCGAAATTCCATGCATGTCAGAGCTTGTGCTACGATAAACACCAGTAGACCATTGTGAAAACCATGATGGGTGTCATTTGTTCATGTTGCATATCGCAAGGCATTCTTTGACTCAGGGGTTGTGAAAGCTTGGCGAGAGTTAGAAGCAGTGGTTGGGCACTTGGTGTAACAATTCTCTTTTTAGTCTTTGTGGTCTCTTTTGAGTACAAAATTTCCCACCATTCCTTGTTTTGCAGAACTTGGGGACAACAGGAGAATCACGGACGTTGAAATATCAAGTGGGACGTGTAGAACGCGCGTTGGAGCCCAGCCATTCATGGCTGGCCGTCAAGCCGTTGTCGTTCAGGATGCACGGCTTCAAACCGACATGATCACCTACAACTCAGCCATCAGTGCAGCTGAGAAGTGCAAAGTTTGGCAGGACAAAACTTGCATGGCGGAAGTTTGGAGAAAGCATCGCCAAGCATCGCTGTCTTTTTGGGGTCAAGGGTTGATCCCTTTTCTTAGGTCGAACAGGATCCAGATAGTCTAGCCTCGTAAAATCTCGCAGCTTTTGATGATTGGAAAGTAGATAGATGTAATCCGCTGTTGCTCGTGCATGCCTGTGCAGTGTCTAGACAAGCTCGTGCATGCATGTTCTCCCTCTCATGATGGCGCACACTGTCGCCCAAGTGAGCCACATTTAGTGCAGGGCGCGTCGCCAAGCGCAGGGCGTGCCGCGGCCTTCCTCGCGAAACAGCGAAGCATGTGGGCACACGGTGGCACGGAGGGGAACACACGGGGGTCGGGCATTGGTCAAGCAGAAGGAACTTGTCGGCCTGCAGGCGGATCAAAGTATGTACGTGCCAAAGCGAAAAGTGCTGCTTTGACGTTTTGGGCTGGGCTTTTGTGACTGCTGTGTAGATCGCAGATTTCTGCACTCCCGCAAAAGGCGTGCAATCGCAGAATTCGCAGCGTGCACCGGAGGAAATGGGCGGCGAAAGACCTGTCCAAAGATGTGACGAGACACAGCACGTACACACCATAAGACGGCAAAAAAGAATAGGCAATCTAAGATGGCACAAAGGGAATCAAACATGTTTTGCAACCCCTTTTGTTAAACATGTTCTGAACTTATTGTGGTTGATGGTTTCTAGCATACTGGGCTTCGCTGGACCCGCAAGGAGGCTTTGACTGTGTTCAACGACTTACCGCACGGCGATGCTGATGTGGTCACATACTGTGTCACTTGGTCATGACTTGTTTGACTCGTTTCGGCATGGAATTTTGCATCATGTTTGCTCAAAACTATGAACATGCCACACTGAAATGACTGAGCTAGAGCAGCTAAGGCCACCATGAAAGCATGCCGGCCTATTTGGCCGGTGATTTTGCGCCTGATGGTTCCTCGTCATCATGTTGCCATTTTTGTGTGGTGTAGGACCTTGAATCGGCCCAGGATGAACTGGAAGCGAAAACGATGGAGGACCTGAGCGGGGATGGCTTTTCCCAACCAGCTGTTCAAGTTTGGAACTTTTCCTGACAAACGGTTTGCTGACGAGGGACTTGATGTTTGGAACATTTTGGAACAAGGTGTTTAGGGTTTTCTCGCTGGGATCGGCAGGTGGCCATCATGTAGAAAAACCCAGCACGGGCCGCAGTGGGTCTGACTGGGAAGGCCACGCATGGGTTTGAGCGCATGTCATTCAGCTCACAAAATAGCTGTCCCAGAACTTCTATGGGAGCTGCGCCGCGTATCACACCAAAAGCTTGCCGCTTTGGGCCACATCCAAGTGAAATCGCTTAAGCTTAGTTCCCCAAAGTCAGCGTCGAGCTCTGCGCGCAAGCTTGGAACCAAAAGCCTTGAGGGTTCAGTGTTCGTGAAAGGAAAAGGCTGGTTAAATACTCTATATATATATATATATTGTCTTTTTTGGTTGAATCTTCATTGCAGCATGTCTTCTCCCCAACTCCGAATGGAGACGATCCCTTTGCTTTTAACTCGGTGTGTCAGGCAAAAAAAGAAGAGGCAAAACATCGATGAAGAGAAAAGATATCGATGTCCCGAACTCTCCTTTCATTCGACAGGAGACGAATGCCTTGTGCTACGACGAGGCGGTGCGCGCATGCGATCTGGGTGGCCGATGGAAGCATCAGAGGCTGGAACTGGGGAGAACAAGGAGAGGTGTGGAATTTTGTCGAAAAGGCCGTTTTGTTCTTTTTGTGTATGCAGTGTTTGTCCAAATTAAGAGCCTCATGAATGATTGAGTGCATGGACGAGGTTTTCTCTTGAGAAGCGAAGGTCTTGGTCACATTGGTGGGTGATCTCCGGTGAAGCACCCTGATGTGTTTGTGCTTTTTGTTCCTAAAGCCAGATGACTTGGAGTTTTCAACGCAGGCTCCTATTGGCTCGCTTACCAGAGAAAGGTCTGAAGGCAGTCCTTGCCTTTGCAGAGAAAATAAAAAGGCGTGAGTTTGCTTCCCCATTTGCCATTTTCGGTAGCAGTAGCATTGCTTGATGAATCTCATTCAATTTCGATTGAGTACTCCTTCTACTTAAGTTCTCACCCCAAGAATCTGCTCTGCCAGAACTTCAATTGCCCTTGGATTGCTAGTGTCCTTGGAGATGTCTTAGATGTGGAGAATGAGGCTAAGGATGCCAGGCATCAAGATCGCAAACGCCAGACGCTCTTTTTTTCTGTATAAGAAGCTTGAACAGTGGCTCTAGGGGGCTTTATACAGAACAGTGGCTCTTGGGTGGCTCTTGGGTGGCTCTTGGGTGCTTGAACAGTGGCTCTTCAATCGGTGGCTCTTGGGTGACATTCAGGTCTGTGCTTCACCGATTCGGTGCGCTCGTAAACGCCCGTGACCGTTTCCAAAGTTGCAAGCAAGTTGGGACAACCTTCGCCCGGCTGGTAGATTCAGTGAACAGTTCTATATGACTATGTGAGACGTCGGACCTTTGACAAGAAGCAAATGTTCACTTATTTCATCTCAAAGACTAAAGAACGTTTGGTGGTCAGTCGAGGACTGTTAATCAATCACGCAGCTCCCGAGCACTTGTTGGTCAAAGACGTTAAGGAGCACTGAACCCTGTCGCATGAATGTCGCTGCACACAATGCTGCCATCAGTCAGTGTGCCAAAGACAAGCGCTGGCAGCCAGCGGCGCAATACTTCCAGCAGCTGCGCCAAAGGCCAAAATATGTCGAGTTTCATGATTGAAAGGTGCCTTATGGTGCCTTACTTAAGTCAACAGCCTTGGCCTTTTTCGTGTCGTCCCCTCCATCGCTCCAGTAGTAACGTCGATGTTGTGTGACCTGTCCGAGACTTCGGAGTCCATCGGCCAGTGACTTCACAAAGGGCATCGCTACGAACAGAGCGATCGGACGCGACTCGAACGGGGCGCTGGCCTTATTACTATATTAGCAAGTGACTTCACACAAGAACCCTTCCCAGGAAGTCTGTGGATCACCTGCAGGTCACCGTTGGAGGGGAGCCAAATCGGAACTTGTTCGTCGCCCAACACCTCGTCCGAACTCGTTCGACGAACTCGGAACACGTCCGAACTCGTCATCTGCGAGGTCCGAACTCGTCTGAGTTCGACGCAGTCGGACGTGAGTCGTTCGGACGCCGCGGGTGGTTCCAGGCGATTGGAAGGCAACGAGATCACTCAGACCGCGCTGCTCAATGTGCCCCCCGGATGTGTCGTTCGATGTGTGGAAAGGGGAATGAAGGTCCTGACACGGAGACAGGTGCCATGCATGTCCATGCTCCATGCTCCATGGTTCCCTAGTTACATCCAGATGCCAGACGTCAGATTCTCCCTGGTCAGATTCATAGGAAGTTCTTTGACATACCTTGACGGACCTGGTTTCGGGATCGGTTTCTGGATTCTTTTTGGTTCCAAAACGACAGCGCTGTGGATACGGGAGGTGCTGTCCAAGAGCCTCCAGTGGTCCACTGCTGTGGATGCCTTGCAGGCGCGAAGAGGGCAGACCGGACAGACCGGGCGATGGCAGGAAGCAGCATGAGGGTGTTACCACATGGTCATAAACACAAAGCAGATGTGGACACCTTGGACCATGTGGGGCTGATGCATGTTCGGGCAGTGGACATTACAATGAAATCCAATCTTTTGAGGCCACTTCGTACACTCCCTGAAAGTTCGAACTCAATAGGTTAGTGGAGAGAAACGTCACCATGACTTCGTACACATACCCGCCACCGTTTGGGGCGCCCAAGCTGTGGCCTGGGGGGTCGGTCGCCATCGACGTCACCGTGATTCGACTCACATTCGACTCGGAGCAGTTCAGGGTCGCCACTCTGACAGCATTCGACTCGGAGCTTCGAGCTTCCTTTGTGACGTACGTACGAAGCGTCCGTAGCGTCCTCTTGTTACTATCGTAATGAGGCCAGGAGCGCCCCCGTTCGAGTCGCGTCCGACCGCCTTCGTTCGTAGCGCCCTTTGTTACGTTCGTAGCGATGAGGGAGTCATTCCATTCCTCAAAGATTCTCACCAAATCAGAACCTGCCACAACCTGACATGCGCGATCCTCCAGATCCTCTGGATCCTCTCTAGGCCTTCCGAGTGCAGCACTTTCAGCCCAATGTCATCACCTACGGCGCCGCCGTCAGCGCTGCAACCCGCGGCGCAGTCCACTGGAGCGAGATGTGCGGGCTGCTGTGCCAGATGTCGGAGCGAAAAACGTGGCTAACGTGGCCAGCTTGTCGCTGCGTGCAGAGCTGCACCGCAGAACAATGTTGAACGTTTTGAAGGAATCAACAATAACATCATGCGCGCTTGTGATGTGGATGTCTAGTTGACCCTCCACTGCGAGGGTTCAAAAAAGGAATCTCGAGCGAGCGCAGAGCGAGGAGTGGGTTGAAACCAACAAAACGACACCTGATGAAGCGAAGGAGAAGGCCTTGGAAACCAATTGTGTGGTCTACAGCACCAGCATCAGCGGCTCGGTGCCACGCGATTTGTGCGACGCGTTCTTTTTGCGGCGCAACGTGTGTCGGTGCGGGCCTGCCATGGTCATGGTTTGTCCAAAAAGTTTTCGAAGGGTCCCGAAGGTTTCTGGTGTTGGGCTTTGGGATTGGTGTGTAAACAATTGTTGTTGAAATTGTGTGGTCAGATTTGTTGAGATTGACAATGTTTCTGTCATAGAGCCAAAACATTCCTACCGTTGTGAACCTGTGGAAGACACATGGATCTCGTAAGACTCCATTCAGCTCACACCAAGACATGTTTAATATCCGGTTGGCTCTACACTCGATCAGGAGTAAACGAAAAGGATGCTGTAACTTTCAACGGATGGTGGCCAAGCACGAGCTGCTTGGGGAACAGAGGGTATGATCGAGAGTCGAAAGCCCCCCCAGCAGCAACGCTCCTGTGAAGTTCTTGGGTGGGAGAGCAAGTCACCCCCAAGAAGCAAATGGTCCAAACCAAACGTCCATGGTTGAAGAAAAATATTTCAAGACGGATCAATCATTGGACCAGAGTTCCCTTGGACGGATCAATCCATGTTCATGTCTTTGGCGGATCCCTGAAACCGATAAAAGACAAAGAGTGAGTTGGCGACTGATTGGGAGACACAGTTTTACGGATCAGGGACGTGTGCTTGGCTTTTATCCATATCGTTTGCTACTTCGATGCATGGCACTAGCTGAGAAATGACGTGTCTACGCACGCATGTCCATGAAGCTTTTTAAGAAACATGCTGGTCTTTTGTGTGTGTGCATGAAATCCTAGAACTTAGAACAAAATAACAACTGATGTCCGAGAACTGAAAGCCCAGGTGCTTGTGATGACTGGCCGCAAGCAGTGCAGTTGCTTTCAGATTTACAACAGAGGCGTACTGGGGCGCTGGGATGCTGGGCTTCGGGGTGTACAGTGTACTTTCAATGTGCTTCAATGAATCGATGAATCAGCCCAGCCCGTTCCTTTCGCCCAACATCCGTTCCTTTCGGCGGAAGTTCTTCGTCCACACGGCGCTCACCGTGGTCGGGCCCCCACCCAGGTCGTATGGTCTTGTTGTGGCCGCCATGGCCTGTTCGCTCGGCAGTTGTTCTTTCGCCTCAAAGCCCCGGAGAGCCCCGTTCGTAGCGTCCTTCCGCTCCGTTCGAGTCGCGATGCCCGAAATGCTCCGTTCGTAGCTTCTTGCTCGGTTCGTAGTAAGGCCTGGTGTGCGTTCATGATCCGTTTGAGTCGTGGTTTTTGTCCCAGCTTCACGGCCTTTCCACGGACGGCCCTTGTGGCCTATTCTTCAAAGCAGTGCTTGCATCTACTTTGAAATGACTTGGATTCAGATGGACGCCCTTCGTGTTCGTCCATCTGGACTTCTGGGCTTTCACGGTCCGTCCCTTCTACAGACGTGGGGCGCCCAGCAGTTTCGTCCGACGGAAAGTGGATCACCCGCAGGCTCCGGAGATCCAAGTCACAGATGGAAGATGGCAAAACCGCGATTTTCTACCCAGCCCTACTCCAAAACACAGAAGGGAACTCTCCGTGTTTTTTGGTCGTCCCTTTTGCGGACCGATCTTGGGCGAAAAGCAAACACCCACCAAACCAAAGAAACGGGAACTTCCAGTTTTTTTGCCAAAAGGAAGCGGTCGGAGCGCTACGAACGGGGAGGGGTTCCTGGCCTTACTACGAACGGAGCGGAGCGGAGCGCTACGAACGTCACAGCAGTTCCCTTCGCTTCGTCGCGTCCGACAACGTCGCTTCATCGCTTCGAGGTCGTCCGCGAACCTGGTCTGCTACAACGCGGCGGCGCAAGCTTCGTGGCCTCACAACCTGGAGATCTTGGAGGCACGTCATGTTGAGACTGGCGAAGGTTCTTTGAGTGTTGAGTCGTTGTTTTTCTTTTGGTCCTTCTTTTTTCAGTGTTTTCTTTGTGCGAGGTTTCTTCTGTTTAGACCTTTGGAATCGTCCTGTTCTTTCTCTTTTTCTTCAGAAAGGTCGTTCCGAGTCAGCCACCCCTGTAGTGGTCGTTCCAGTGCTATTTGAAGCTGTTTGACTGTCCTCCAGATATTTCACAGGCGGCTGGTCATAGAAGTTTCATCTTGGCAGGTGACACCGAATGAAATTGAGGCTCAAGGACAGACCTCAGAACTTCCCCATTGGCCGCACACCCCCGTTGGCCACGCTAAAAAGCGCTAAAAAGTACCCGCGAAGAGGTCTGTAATAGCAATGGCCTCCACCCTATGAGTCAGCCAGCCTTCCAACCTACTAGCGACGGCCTTCCAACCGAATAGCTGTTCTTTCCGATGCTTTTGTTTGGGTACTAGTAGTTACAAGAAGCTAGTAGAAACAAGTGCCACGCTATTAGGAACAGGTGCCTTACTAGTAGTTACAAGAAGCTTATCTGCATTGGACGCGGATTCTGCTGGACTGGGACGGTCCGTAGTCTTCGAGGCCACCGAGCTCCGCTCCCTGCAGCCCAACGTGGTCTCCTTCGGCGCGGCCTTGCGCGGTGGTCCTTGGGCCGCTGGACTGCGGCTCTTGCAGCAGATGGGTGACAGGCAGATGGCTGTGGCATGCTGTGGCTCTAGTAACAAGGTGCATCGCTACTGATAACAAGAAGCTACCAGGAACAAAGGGCATCGCTACTAGGAGCAAGAAGCTACTAGTAGCTCCTGGCATTACTACTAGTAACAAGAGCGTCGGCTTGAGTTAAACATAGAGGAGGTAAATATGAAGTAGCAATTCTAGTGAACAAAGGAAGTCATATACTGGGCGGGTGTGTGTGTGTATGTGTTTATTCAGCAAAATAGGTTGAATGCGTTGTGTTCCCATTCTCATCGCTTTTGTTTTTGGTTTGCAATGGCCTCCAACCTACTAGCGATGTCCTCCAACTGAATACCTAGTCGTACTCTCAGATGTTGGCTCTCCAAGTCACCAAAGCCAGGCAGCTGCGCTGCAGTTTGGTGGCCTATGGCGCTTTCTTTGCTAACGCTCCAGCATGGAATCTTCTCCTAACGCTCCAGGAGCCAAAAAACGCGGAAAAAAAAAAACATGTTGAAAAAAACTGAACGAAGCAGACGAGGCCATTGGATCAAAACCTGGAGCCCTTTTCTCCAGGTCAACCGCTCGGTCGCTTTTCTCCTCCCCCCAAATGGGCCCTGAACTCGTGATGGACGACCCCACCAGGCAAGCATGGAACATGTCTTTTTGAATAATTATCCTTGATTTGTTGTGTTTCTGTGAGTTGGTAAAACTCGAGGCAGCCTTGGATTCGCGGATCGATCTTTTTGTGGCACGGGTAAAGGTCGTCTCTTTGCTTTGGCTTCGTTTTGCTGCAATGAGAGGACCAGGGAATCCAGCCGAATTTGCAGATCTACAGCTCCAGTTACTAGACTCGCATGGCAAGCTGGATGGCAAGCTGCTTGCTCGTGTGTGCTTTTTTCACTTGATGAATCTGTCTTCCTTTCTTGCTTTAGGAGCCAGACCGGAGCTGACTGAGACTGCTGTGGACGAAGCATGTCTTAGATCCCTGACAGACCGGTTTGGACCGTTCCTCCATGTCGGTGTTTCACCCACCTGGTCGACCGGGTCGACCGGAGGTTTCCCCGTGATGCCCTGGCGCCGAGCCTACCAGAGCTTCTTCTCGCCGCGGATCACCGCGGATCTGGTGGCCTTCTGCGCCGTGATGCGACCGGGAACGAAGAGAAGGGACGGGGGAAGAAGGGAACGAACGTGGGGGACGGACTGACAGACAGAATGGTTCAGGCGACCAAAAGAAGAGTGTAAGGCTTTGGGTCTCCATGTCGCCTTGTCATTGAAATCCCCGAAGCCTTGTGTTTGTTTCCCCCCCCACCATGTCAATGCACGAGGCGTTGATCTGCGCCCAGGACGGCAGAGGACCATCAGGGCCCTTGGGCGCAGACCTTGGCATCGCGGCAGATCGTGGGGGTGCAGATGTTTCGAAGACCGGGCCTCGGGCGCTAGTAGTAACAAGTGCCACGCTAGTAGTAACAGGTGCCTTACTAGTAGTAACAAGAAGCTACTAGGAACAAGTGCCTTACTACTAGTAACAATAAGAATTTAATTAGAATTGTAATTACTAGCAAAGGAATCTACTAGGACCTTTTCGCGCGCGCACGCGCGCGGAGGGGGGGGGAGGGTAGGAAGCTACTAGTAACCAAGAAGACCGGGCCCTGGGCGCACCGGGTAGAGAATGTAGCGATGCCAGGAGCCCCGTTTGTAGCGTCCTTGTTCCGGGCAGAGAATGTGTCCAACGAAGTGTTCCAAAATGGAACGGACTGTTGAAGGGTGTGGCCTAATTGGCTGGCATTGCCTGGCGGTGGTGATGGGTCAGATCAAAGGCGAGCCACTTCAAAGGGCACCGCTTCATCCCTGGGTGTCCTGGACATGGCTGTGCAGTTGAAGCTGCAACACTTCCAGCCGCGAATATTGCAGAAATCCCAACTGCACCTCCACAAATCCACCTCCAAACGTGCAAAGATAGATACTTACACACACACACTTCCAACCTTTGTGCTCCGTACTCACTAGTTTGCCGCTCATGCAGTTTTGAGCTGCTTACTTTGCGGCCACGTTTGGTCCTTGTTCTGGGCATCCTGCACTTCTTTCCACAATATCCTGCAAAATCCCACCTTGGGGACGCCTGCAGCATTTGCTCGAGTGGGTTTGCACTGCTTGCAGCTTCCCATTCAAATCCCATTCAAACCCCGACTTGACCTGACGAAGAGCGCAGGTGTTTCTCAAACTGCAGGCGTGAAACGAAGATCGCTGTGAGACGAAGTCCACTTCGAAGATCGCTCGCCTCGGTTTTCCTCGGTTCGCCTCGGTTCCCCTCTGGTCGCCTCTGGTCCTTGGATCAGATGTTGTGGATCGATTCTTGGCCACCCGACGAAGAAATCGAACGATGTGTTGATGTGTTTTCTTGGAATGTTTGAGCACTTCATGTGCTCAATATGCCGCTATGTTGCCTTCACAAAGAACCCAAAATCCGATGTGTTTGGCAAGGACTCCTTTCACCTTTCTCCCTTGCTTTTAGGTTGGAGGCCATCGCAAGTAGCTTGGAGACCATTACATAGTAACAAGAAGCTACGAACGTCGCAAGGACGCTCCTCGGTGTGTTTTTCTGTCTCCCTTCCTTCTCCTTTCCTTTCGCTCTCACTCTCCTCCGTCCCCCAACTGGCCGCCCTCCCCAACCGGCCGCTGTCCATGAGGCGCTCCTCTCGCAGGCTCATGGGCGTCGTTTCTGCTCGGTGAGCTTGTGGGTGGCCTGCATCAGCACCTGCGAGAGGCGGACGTCGGGTCGTGGACGTCGGGTCGGGTCGTCTTCCAAGGGGGTGGGGAGAGTTCGGCCAAAAGAGTCAATGCAATGAGTCGCAAGATGGCAAGGAAAGAGCGGAAAATGCCAGGTCCTTTAAACGTTTCAGAACTGCCCCATATATGTTAGCCTTACTGAACATGCACTAGAGTGTGTGGAAGCAAGCCACGTTTTGCTGAGACCTGTTCAATCAAAGAGTTGGAAACGACTGACTAGTACATCGAGTATCATCGAGATCTCATATAAAGCAATGGCACGCGCGAGACAGTGATGAGACCCTCACGTACTCTCCGGTTCTGCGCCCCCACACAAGCGTTTGCAGGTCCGGCTCGTGGCCAGCGGCCTTGTCCATGCTGCGGGAAGCGCCCTTCGGCGACGTCAAGATTCGGAACGCGGCCCTCAGCACCTGTGGCTCGGCAGAAGCTGCAGACGCTGCAGGAGGAGGAAATGCACCATTTCCTGCTAGTAACAAGGGCATTTCTACTAGTAACAAGAAGCTACTAGGTGGAGGCCATCGCTACGAACGGAACAAGGACGCTACAAGTAACAGAGCACCTTACACTTGGACGGTGCATTCAGAGGTGATCATCGGCCTCGCCGCAGGGCCCGTCACAAAAACCGACTAGTTGTCGTGGAGGAAGGAAAAAAGAAAACGACTCTCACTGAAAATGTGAACATGTTGTCTCGAAAATAGAAACCAGCAAGGACGCGACGGAAACTAGTAGCAAGGACGCTACTAGGGGGAGGCCATCGCTACGAACGGAACAAGAAGCTGCGGACGTAGCAAAGAGATTCGACCGAGCCTCAAAGCTTTGTATGAATGGAATGCCTTGGAACGCCTTGGAGCCGCCCGGCCGCTATGCGTTCGCCATGCGTTCGCCATGAGTTGCTTGTTTGAGGCGGGAAGGCGGCGCAATGGGAGCGTGCCTTGGAGATCTTGTGGAAGACTCCTCAGGCAGGTGGATAGGAGAGTCTTTTTAAAGCTTGAAAAACCTGAATCTACCGTAATCTACCATGAAAGACTTTGGTAGCAGACCGAGAATAGAATATGTTCTGCTGGGATGTTTTGAGACCGTTTCGGGTGGCAGGGCTGCACAAAAAAAAAGGCATCAAGCATTGTGGGGGATGACGCTCAACGCCGCTATGTGCGATGAAAAAGATCCAACCACTGGCTAGGTGCATCTAAAAATCAACACCGTCTCCATGAACGCCGCAATCAGTGCCTGTGAGATTCTTGGGCATAGTGTGCCAGAACACCTAGCAATTGCAGTATGTTTTTGTTTTAGGTGGCACAAATGTCGCGTGGCCAAGAAGAAAGCTGTGTGGTGTGTTTGGTGTCAATGCGAGATACGATCAAGATACCTTGCGATTGCAATGTGTTTCACAGCATTTAGATGTCACTCTTTAAGGGAGGCAGGTGGAGTTCTACTATTCCTTTTCTGAACTGATTCGCAGTTCTCGGTTTAGAGGGATGACGCATGAGAGAATCAGCCGGCTTAGAACGATTCTTTTTCGGCCCTGAAGATTTGGTCGATTTGGCCGTTGTTCCTGGGTGTTCTACCTTCAAGAAAGCGAGAGCAAGAGAGAGAGAGAGAAGAGAACCTAACTGTAGTGGCCTCCAACCTAATAATTAGTGATGGCCTCCAACCTGAGAGAGAGAGAGAGGGTCTTTCATGAGTCCTTTTCTATAATATCTTAGCGGATAACACAAGAGAGAACAGGACATCGGACGAGGCCTTTGGAGCTTGGAGCCGCAATTTTTAGCAACTCTCCCACATCTGAGGAAAGCCGCACTTTGGCAAAAGGCTTTGGACTTGTACGAAGAGATGCCCAAGATCTCACTGAAGGCGAGATGTATTCTTTTGTCGGTTGAGAGTAGATGGCACAATTCTTAAGTTTGGTAATTTGTGTTCGGACCCCCATCTGTTGAGGACATCTTGCAGGAACCGTGCCATCCTCTGAAACCGCTGTATCCAGATTGTCTCTGATGCGTTGTGGGAGACGGGTGAAATGGAGGTCTTAATTTGCAATGTGTGCTGGGGGGAATTGGCTTGGGTGTAAGTGGCTACACTACGCTTGTGATGGAGGGAATGTGGAGATTGCAAATGTAGTAGGTGTTGATCGCCTGCCATTCATTGATGGCCTACGAACGCCTCCGGGCAGCATAGCTTCGTCGGAGGTGTCCGTCTTTTTCGCTGCAATGTCCACACATCGCTGCAGTTGTTCCACAAGGCCAAGCTGTCGACCATTAGAATTAAGTGTAATTAGAATAAGAAGCTACTAGGAGCAAAGGGCATCGCGACTCGAACGGAGCAAGGACGCTACGAACGGGGCTCCTGGCATCGCTACGAACGGAACAATCCACACTGTCTTGGTGTTCGTTCGCATCGATTCGTCCGTGAACTGCACCCTGCACACATCTGCACAGAGCCTGTCGGTGGAAGGGTTGAACAGACGAACCATGTCTGGAGCGTCGAAAAAGGACGTAGACGCGTCGCTCTGATCGTCGACACAGAAAGACATCAACGTTTGAGGCCTGCAGATTTCCAGCGTTTGGTCAGGTTTGGTCCCAGGATTCTTCCCAACGACAGGCCGGTCTGCAAAGGTCAAGTAGCCCTACAAGTACGTCCAGACGGAGGCAACCGGGACCACCGAAAATGAGAATGGACTAGGATGGAGGTCAACCTACCAGGGATTAGGGGTCTGGATTTTGCATCCAGAAAATATGTAAGAAGTCCGGGACATTGAGGAATGTCCGGAACTTTGGGAGTAAAATAGCTTGCAGTGATCAATCACAGCCACAGCGCTACGGGCAATCCAAAACTCAAACTTGGGTCTTCAGAAGGGATCCTCGAACAGAAATTTGAAGAAAACGGATTGTTCCTGAAGAGGTCTTCAATTTCTTGACAAGAATCTGAGCGCCGGCCATCCCAACAGAAAGACATGGTCAAAAGATCAGCAAACTCTGCGCAGCGCACAGAATTTCTGCGAAAGTGCGAACCGTTTAGGGTGCCAATTCCCGCGGCCAGAAATGAATTGCTCTGTCATGATCAATCCAAAGTCCATACAAAGATCTGTAGTGCTGTAATGCATAAAGATTGGTTTCCACCCCAGTAGCATGGTCATGATTTTCACAGACTTGGCGCCCAAAGAATCTTCAGTGCCAAGAGGCTTGCTCCATCACAATGTCACATGTTGTCAATGTTCAGGTTTTTCGCTTGAGATGATAGGTCGATAGTGGTTAGGTTTTTCGGATTACACTTGGAGAACTATTCTTGAAAAGGTTACCATTTCAGCTAATTCGCAGGGTTCTATACAAGCAGTTTTCACTGTTATCATGGTTATTTTGTTCCACGCCACGTGAGGCGGACAGCATCACGTGCAATGCCCTGATCAGTTCCTGAAGATGCTGAGGATGCTTTTGTTTTGCCTTTTTTATATCCGATCAAACCTAATAGCCATGGCCTCCACCTAACAGCGATGGCCGATGGCCTCAGACATTCATTGACATTCACGTGCCTTCCTCCCTCTCCACGTTTGTTCGCCAGCTGTTGCTGCAAGACCGTAGGCGTACCAAGGGGCTAAGCTAAGTCACCCATATCCGCCACACGACGAGTTGGATCCAAACAGCACTGATCGGTTGCTTTTTTGGGACAGAAGCTGCAAAGCAAACCAGGCGACTTGCGAATTGGACATGTGATGACATGTGATTGTGTATGTGCATTGTCTTGTTCCACAAGGTTCCTTCGAGAAGTCAGCGCTTTGGCGGTGGGCGCTACATTTTCTGCATGCTTTTGGGCTGTCCGATGTGGTCGCCTACAATGCAGCAGTGAGTGCCTGTGAAGCCTGTCGAATTGGACTTTTGAACTCATAGTTCCTGCACACAATCAGTACCCGGGTGCCCTTGTTCAACCGTTTTTGATGGCATAAACACAGAATGTACACTCCCTGGAACTAACATGGAAGTGGAGAATGGCCCCTTGGAAGACCATTTTCCACTACAAACAGGTGGTTTTCCACTTCCATGTTAATTCCAGGGAGAGTATCTCATTTACGTGGATTATAGGCATCACTTGGCTGAAAGCTAACCAAGAGGCGTGGGGTCCAGTGGGCGGGACCGGGAGCCGTTGACCATGCAGAATTGCTTTTGTATAGGTGACGTCCCTGTTTGTGTCTGAAATGGCATGACAATGAGGTTTACCTGACAGAAAGGATATTGAGAATTGAGGTTCCAGGTGCTGTACATATTCTGTAGTCATTGTTGGTTTTTTGTTTTCGCACGAGAGGGAGACCAAACGCTGGAGTTGGCCAATGGACGACGGTCGGTTCTCGCATGCGCTTGCAATCGTAAGCCACTGAGGAAAAGTCTGGGCAGTGGCAAGCTGCGGTTGGTATACTTGCAGACATGCGCACCAGTGTCGTGCAGGCTGTGCACCGGACTTGCGAAATGGAGGGTGCTATCTATGCCCCATCCACATTCCTTTTGGATGCCTTGTACTCAAGATTCCGAGATCTTATGAATCATTCAATGTCTAAACCGTTGCTATGCAGCTATGCTTTGAGAAAAAGTGAGTCGCCGGTGTCCGTGCGGGACTCGTCCGTGCGAGTCGTGCCTAGACAGCATGATGTGCTTGTCCTGGAAAAGAACTAGCATCCTTGCTCCTAGTAGTAAGGCACTTGTTACTACTAGCGTGGCACTTGTTTCTAATAGCTTCTTGTTACTACCAGTAAGGCACTTGTTACTAGTAGCTTCTTGTTACTACTAGTAAGGCACTTGTTACTAGTAGCTTCTTGTTACTACTAGTAAGGCACTTGTTACTAGTAGCTTCTTGTTACTACTAGTAAGGCACTTGTTACTAGTAGCTTCTTGTTACTACTAGTAAGGCACTTGTTACTAGTAGCTTCTTGTTACTACTAGTAAGGCACTTGTTACTAGTAGCTTCTTGTTA